TAACTAGAAGGCTGGAAGAAAACAACATGCCCGTAGAATATGCAGTATTACTCAGACACTGCCTTACATCTGGCTACCTATTGTGGAAGGAGGAATTCTACAAATAAGTAGATGTGATGGGCTCACCTGTATCTCCCATTGTAACCGACATATTCATGGAAGACTTTGAGGAGAAAGCCCTGCTTACTTCTCACATAAATCCAAGATTCTACAAGCGGTACGTAGACGACACTTTCACAATTCTACCCTTAGATAAACTAACTGTATTTTTAGACAGTCTCAACTCTATAAATTCTAAAATTCAGTTCAAAATGGAGTTAGAGGCAAACAATTCTTTAGCTTTTCTAGATGTGTTAGCAATTCGGAATCCTGATAACACATTGAGCCATACTGTGTATATAAAAAAGACCCATACAGATAGATATTTAAACGGTGATACTCTCGGTGGGTAAATCTTTGTTTCAGAGAGCACGATAAATCTGTGACAGTAAACACCTGGCTGCCGAGCTTCACCATGTCAAGCAAGTTTTGCATGACAACAAGCTTCGGGTTCCGCGCCTACGTCACAGTGAACCAGTGAAGCCGGCCACAGTCGAACATGTACCTGCTGTACTGTAATAAGATTGGCTACATCTTGAAGCGCGCTTCTATCAAAACATACCTCAAGCCGCCGAAGAAGATTGGTCAGTTTTTACCATCAGTCAAGTGTAACGTCCCTCTGCAAGATGCAGGAGTGTACAAGCTTGATTGTGAGTGTGGTCTCTGCTTCATAGGACAAACTAAAAGATCAATTAAAATCCGCGTTAAAGAACATATAGCTGATGTGAAGAATCGACGCTCCGAGAAGTCTGAGTCTGTGAACACATACAGGATCGCCCCCCGTCACTACATCAGATTTGATAGACCACAAATCAAAAAGAAACACAAATTCCTTCCAAGAATGATTCGCGAGGCTATTGAAATCAAAAAACATCCTAATTTCAATAGAGAAAATGGCTGTGTGCTACCATCTGCTTGGGATCCTATAATAAATATAACTAAATCCCAACCCAAGCATACAACTGCAAGACTTCAAGATACCATAAGTTCATACTGTGTAGATCGGAACAAAAGTTAATTTTTATCTATGGTAACCGCTGTTAACTATGACATTTGGACGTTGAACATCTCAGTCCTCCCCGTGACCATGGGTGCCGTAAAGCGCTCGAAACGTCGGGTGTTTATAGTTAAATATACGCGATAAAATCCGTAAAAACTAGTATTATTTCAGTGTGTAGTGCTCGCGTAAATATAAGAAATCATTATCTTTGAATATAACCTGGCAGGAGCTGTCAATATCAGATTGTAATTGTATTCTTCTAAAAATATGTAAGGATACCATAGTCATTGTAATTTATAGACCAGCTGGATTTAAGGATCCCACAAATTTTATTGAATCGCTTAGTAGTACGCTTGATCAGTATTCACCTTATAAAACCATAATTATAATTGGCGATATAAATATAGATATTGTTATACATAGTAACGACTCCTACTCTCTATATTACTTAAATAGTCTGGCATCTAAAGGTATGTTACCTGCCCACACCTTCCCTACCCATGACAAAACATGTCTAGATCACGTCATATTGAAAACAAAACTTCGGTCAACCTGCTACGTTGCGGAGACTTCCATTACTGATCATGATACTCTTATATTTCTATTAGAGGCTACTCTAGATACACGTAGTTTGCCGCCAAAAATTAGAGAACGTGTAAATTACGATAATTTAGATAGTTACCTTCTCACTTTAAACTTTAAAAGTATTTATTCCATGGTAGATGTTGACTCAGCAACTACATTCCTATACTATATCCCTAAGCAATGCTTTAAAAATGAATACTAAAATAATTAAAGTTTCTAATCGCAAAATTATTAAAAAGCCCTGGATTACCACAGGTATTTTAAGATGCTTAAGAAATCGCGACAAATTACACCAAAAATGTAAAAAATATCCCCATGTTGACGTAATCGTTACTACATACAAACGTTACCGTAATTATTGTAATGAACTACTTAAAAAACTTAATAAAGAATATGAAAAAGCAGAATTAACAACAGCAGTTAAAACAAGCAATAAAAAACTTTGAAACACAATTAAAACGGTCACAAATACGAATAAATTAAATAATAATGCCGATATATTATTAAACAAATCTGACCCTAAAACTTCACTTAATTATGTTAAAAAACTAGTATTATTTCAATACATTCAAAGATTTTTTGAAATACACCACATCACCCTCATTTTGGGTTGCGTTATTAGGAGTTTTACAATAGTTATAGCCATCCATTATCGGAATATAGTGAGTGGACGGCAACCAACATTCTGTAAGAAGAATTAAGTCCCATTCTAAAGCTGACTTATGTATTATAACTTTAAGTTCATCTATGTTGCTGTTGTTGAAAGTTAGTTTAATACTTTCGTTTTGTATATAAAAATAAAAGAAGTTAATGTACTTAATCTAGTCACGCAATTGGTGCCAGTTGATAACAATTTAAATATGCCAAAAAAGTTTAGTACAAAAATTCGCACTTATAAGTACATTCCAACTTCCAAATAACACAAGAGTATCTTTGTCGTTGGTGCGTTTATTAGCGTGTATTACTGTAACTTAGAAATGGCTTGACTAATTGAAGTTATATTCTTGGTTTGGATAATTATTATAAGTAATTAAATAAAAATCTATATTTACGAGGGCGACAATGAAAGTTTTTGGAACCGGCCACTTGTAAACGATATAATAAAAAAATAAGATAAAATTTTAAAAATTTAACTCTTTGCCAATATAATTGTGTATGTATTTTATTAATTTGTCATTTGTTTACGATTTGGCGGCAAATTGAAAATTGTTTATATCACGTCAGCATGAATTTAACGCGAGAAAATTTTCGTACAATGTTTTTTTATGATTCGATGTCATTTAAACCAATAACAAAGTTACGATACACGTTGATTGGCTTTTCAGGATGAAGTCTCATCGCTTGTCACTGTTTACAACTGGCTTAATGAGTTTAAACGTGGTCGCGTTAATCTCACCGATGATCTGCGTGAGGGACAGCCTTCTACGATGACGACTGAAGATAACATCAGTGTTGTGCGGCGTATGATAGAAACTGACAAAAGAGTGACTTATCGGCAGATTCGGACAAGCTTAGGCATCGGTATGAGTGAAGTGCACAAAATCCTCCATGAACATTTAGCGGTCAAGAAGCTTTGTGCCCGGTGGATACCTCATAATTTGACAGAGCCCCAAAAACTCCGTCGTGTTAATTGGGGTCGTAAAATGGTTCAAAGATTTAAACGGAGGTGACCCAAATGGTATTCTACATATTCACGGGTGACGAAAACTGGATTTTTTGTTATGAACCTTAAACTAAGCGACAGTCTGCTGTCTGGGTGTTTCCTGCCGAGGAGTTGCCAACTAAAGTGAAGAGAGGTCGAAGCGTGGAAAACGATGGTGGCCTCGTTCTTCATAAGTATAGGTCATTAAGCAGTAATTGTTTTAGATAATCAAAAAACAGTTACTGCTAAGAGAAGAAGTAATAAAGAGATGTAATGAAAACGTTTCAAACCTACCTCTTTAAATAAAAGGGTATACAAAATCCCCGTCCCTAAAACGTTTTTTGCTTGTCACCTACCACGTTTTTTTCATCGCGCACACATGCACACGCACACGCACACGCACACGCGCACGCGCACGCGCACCGCCACGCGCACACCGCACATGCACACACACACGCACACGCACACGCACACGCACACGCACACGCACACGCACACGCACACACACACACACACACACACACACACACACACACACACACACACACACACACACACACACAACACACACACTATTATACTTTCAGTATTAAAATATGTCTTTTCTTTGTTAGACTGCGTACGATTCTCTAGTTAACTTGCGCTCTCGGACCCCGAGATACGGGATTATCCTAGTTTGGGGTCCAACGGAAAATATTTGTATATGTTATCTTAAACATTGTTTAGATGTTTAGCTTACTGTTCTTGCTTACATTTGTTAAATCTATATGTCAATAAAGTTTATTACTATTACTATTAAACACTAACAATTGTTACTTGTCTTGAAAAAAGTTCGGGAGAAACGACCTTGCAGTAGGATCCTCCTTCACCACGATATTACTGGTTCATCCGCCCTATAGCCACGACCTTGCCCCGACAAATAAAAGAAAAACTTCGATGAAAACGTTTTATGGACGCCGAGGCAGCAGTGGCTGCGTTTCAAAATTTCATCGAAGAGACCCCTAAGGACGAGTGGGCAAAGTGCTTTTCTCAGTGGTTCAATCGGATGCAGCGATGTATTGATAATTTATGATGTAAATGGACACTATTTTGAAAATATATAATAAAACTAATAACTTGATAGTTTGATTAAAAACTACATTTATGGATTTTATCACGCTTAATTTATTTGGTCTTTAATACCCGAAGTTTCGGGTGCTTTTAAGCACCCAAGGAAAGTACCCGAAACGTAAAAGTAGTTTTAATCAATGTGTAGTGTTCGCGTAAATATAAGAAATCAACTTGGTAGTTTTTTCAGTTTTTGGTTTTCTAAGAATTTTCAGTGTCACCCTCGTATGAACAAAAATCAAATGTATCATATTCTTAAATCACAAGATCTAGATCCAATAGGTGGCAATATGGTTGAATTATAATAACTAAGTAAAAATTTCAAAAGCCAGAACAACGTCTGCCGGCAAGTAAACTATATGGTTGTAATATAAGTGCTCATCTGCGAATTTTGTAACCAGTGAATGGCTTTTCATTAATTTTTTTTCAATAAAGAATTCCCATTTAAAACTAAACCAAATATTTTTACTCTTCTGTTATGCGTACCAAAATCGTGTAAACCGTACTTAAAATTTAAATATGTTTGAATAACAGAAGTCAAATTTAATAAATAATACATTTGTATAGCCATACGAGTCAAAAACACAAGAAATTACTACCGGTGTGAAATGAACCCCAGTATTGTATATTTAAGGCGCGCGCTTAGCTACTTTACTTCTTGTACGCTTTTAATCCCCTGTTTGAACCCAGGTTTCTCACGTACTGTGAAATCTAATGCAAGTACTGAGCCCTACAGTGCTACGGTTTACAATGGAAATTTCATGTAATTTAAAATGTAAAGCATATAATAAAAAATTATTCAGATGTTTCATTTTCAGCGTTTAATCTTCGTATTTGTACGCATCTGACAGCGACTTTACTCTTCTTCACGAGCTGGTCGGTCGCGCCACAGCTAGTTTTAAATTTAAATATTATAATTATGTGAGTAAATCAATCTACGTTGTCAGTTGAAAAAAAAAACGTGTGCGCTTATGACCACACGTGTGAAGTAAAACTCTAAGCTCCATCTATATATATATATATATATATATATATAGTATATCATTATCTACAAACTTTATATCTATTATCGACTTCCTCCATAATTTGTTACTACCCGAAAATTAAACATATTTGAAATGAGTCTACAATTTTACTCACTTTGAATAGTACCACATACTTTATACAGATACAGATATTAAGGCAACTAAGCCATTAATTTTCATGTAAGTTTTATATTTTTAGAAATTGGGATTAGTTAATAATATCAATAAAAGATTTTAATAAATAAACGTACTATAAGCATAAACTAAACGCAATGAGGGCTATCGCGTATGAATTCGCCGCTAGAGGCGCTACCGCTAGTGTAGAGTGAGGTCTCCGATATGTCAAATGTCACTGTTATTAGTAGGTGGGCTACGCGTGTTTATTTCTTTTAGAATAATATTGTGAATATATTGCAATTCCTGAGATTAATTATGAACAATATGAGTTACGTGTCAATGAGTGACAGTGCTTTAAAAGCGGAGCTAAGAAAAAGAGGTGCAAAATTAAGTGGGTTGAAAGAACAGTTAATTCAGGGGTTAGTTTGTTTACTATTTACAAATACATTTTTGTCGAAATTCGAAATAATAATTTTTAATAGAAAGATAGAAGATGAAATACTACAAAATGATTTGGAGTAGTTTTGCTTTGCTGTGTTATAAGTTGTGTATGCGTATAAGTTGTGAGGAATGTTGTTTATGTAATAGAGTCACAATACTCTAGTAGTAAGTAGTAGTCTTTTTCTTGCAATTTCTACAGCCACTTAGCCTGCACTGAAAGGCTTGATAGCCGCTGCGGAAGCAGTTTCTATATAAATTCAATAGGAAAACCTTAGAAATACGTTCTGTAACCAGTAAAGCTTTAAATTTCAAACTCACGTGTAATTTATGACCTTTGTTGTAACCTTGGTTTGGTTTTGATCTGTATCACACACTGCTTGTCAGCAGAAAACTAGGCAGAAGAAGTAAAAAATGAATTCGTTTCTTTTACACTGTATCGTTTTTCATTTTTGCGTGACTTACTAGAATTCATAGTTTCCAAAACCAATCAACGCGTTGACGAAGAAAGGAATAGGATTCCTCTAAGCTTGGCGAAACTGTATCGCTTCATAATTCCTCCCATTTCCTAACAGTTGCACTATCTAACCTTGTCGAGGCCATACAAATAATAGTTATATCCCATTTGTAGGTAAGTAAAGTAAAGTAATGTTACAGCCTATATACGTCTCACTGCTGGGCACAGGCCTCCTCTCATTCCTGAGAGGGTTTTAGGGCAAAGAATAGTCCCGCCGCGCTGCCTCAACGGGTGTTGGCGAACTTCACATGTCTTCGAAATATTTTTTCTTATTTTCAGACTTGCAGGTTTCCTCACAATGTTTTCCTTCACCGCCAAGCACGTGGTAAATCAGCACTTAAAATTGCAACTAACAATTTTATCGGTGTCGGCGGGGATCGAACCCGGTTTGCTCGCGTATTTGGAAATTTACAGCGAGCGCAAACCATCTGAGCTACCACGGCTCTCTTTTTCCGAACCGATACGACCTGGAGACCTTCAAGAAAAGAGCTTAATCCTTTCTAAGTTGTTAGTAATAATTTGCCATCAGAAAGTTTGTCACTAAATGCATTTCATATCAACAAAAGGCCTTCAATCATTCAAAGGTGGGAAAGTTAAGAGAAAATGTTATATAAACACGGGAGGGCAGAAAAGCCCGTAAAAAAACTACTTAGGGGAGTCAAACCAAGACGCCGGCCAAGGGCCGGCAACGCACCTGCAATTCCCCATTTGTAGGTAGGTTGTCCTCAATAATTTAGAGCACTTAGATTTCTCAATAATGTACCAATAAATCCGTTGGGCTATGTCGGTCACTCTGGTTTTACTGCGGATATCCTCATTTCTGAGTCTATCACGCAGTGAAACTCCGAGCATAGCCCTCTCCATAGCTCGCTGAGCGACCTTGAGCGTCCTCATACGGCCAGCAGTGAAGGACCACGTCTCAGATCCGTAAGTCATCACTGGCAACACGCACTTGTTATACACTTCAGTTTTCAGAGATTGAGGTATACCTAACGAGAAAATGTGTCGTAATTTCCCGAACGCTGCCCAGCCGAGTTGAATCCGTCGATTGACCTCTCGGTCGAAGTTGGACTTACCTAGTCGGACTATTTGTCCCAGGTAAACATACTCGTCAACAACTTCGAGCATAGTGCTCCCAACAACTACCGGCATATGTGTGACATGGACATTAAACATGATCTTTGTTTTGTCCATGTTCATCTTAAGACCTATCCGTTGGAAGACACCATTGAGGTCATGGAGCATAGTGCTAAGGTCCTCCAGCGATTCTGCCATAAGGACTATATCGTCGGCAAATCGAAGGTGAGTGATGTACTCGCCATTGATGTTAATACCGTATCCTTTCCAGTCCAGTAGCTTGAAAACGTCTTCCAACGCAGCGGTGAAGAGTTTCGGGGATATAACATCACCCTGTCTTACACCTCTCTGCAGTTGGATAGGTTTCGAACTCTGGTTCTGTACTCGGATAGCCATCGTAGCCCTACTCAACCCAGCACTTCATATACCGACAGTCAACTTGGCATCGCTGAAGGGACTGTAGCACCGCCCAAATTTCGACGGAATCAAAGGCTTTCTCATAATCCACATATGCCAGGCAAAGTGGCAGATTGTACTCTTCGGTCTTCTGTACAATCTGCCGCAGGGTATGTATGTGGTCTATGGTACTGAAGCCTTTTCGGAAACCGGCTTGTTCGGGAGGCTGGAAGTCGTCGAGTCTGCGTGCGAGACGATTCGTAATGACTCTCGAAAACAGCACGTAGACGCGGCTCAGAAGGGAAATCGGTCTGTAGTTCTTCAAGAGAGCGTTGTCGCCTTTCTTAAAGAACAAGACCACCGCGCTACTGCTCCACGCCTCCGGAGTAGTGCCACCATGGAGGACGGAATTGAAGAGCTTCTGAAGGACTTCAAGTACTGGTGTTCCACCAGCTTTCAGAAGCTCCGCTGTAATTCCATCCTCGCCCGGGGCCTTGCCGCTTTTAAGGTGGTGGAGAGCCATTCTAATCTCGCTCAGACTGACGTCCGGGATATCATCGGAATAGTGTCGGGTAAGACTTGCTCTTGGATCGTTACTCACACTTGCGTGTGGCTCCAACGATGATGTGTACAGCTGCCCATAGATCCTCTCAATCTCACTCAAAATCTCAGGTGTCTCGGAAACGATGCTGCCACACTCAGTCTTCAGCTTTGACAGTTGGCTCTTTCTGGCAGACAGATCTATGGCAAAGACTTTGGAGCCTTGGTTCCGCTCGATCGCTTCTTTAATACGAGCAGTATTAAAGTTGCGTAAGTCTCGCCGCATGCATTTGGAGATCTGTCTGTTCAGCTGCCTGTATGCTGTCAAATCTGTTGACGATTGCAGCCTCATCTCCCGTCTAACAGCCATGAGATTAAGAGTGTGATCGGAGAGTTTTTGTGTTCTTCTGCGGCGGGTCTTGCAGAACTTAGCTCCGACCCAAATCCTCTGGGCCCCAACTATATTAACCGTGCTTTGTGGCATTACTTGAGGGAGGCCTATGGTCAGCAGTGGACTTGTGAAGGGCTGTAATGATGATGATGATGATGATGACGTACCAATAAAACTATGAATGCCAGCCTCTGTCTCCTTATATAACGATTTGATTGAAAATAGCTCGTTTATGTGTTCATTTATCAATAAGTGCTTATTATTATACAGCTCACAAAGTGGTTGCCAAGCTGTCCACAATTTTTAGACTATAGAGTAATAACGGAGTTAATGACAGAGGAAACATTGCCCTCTAAATATGATTAAAGGTAATGAAATTTACTAATGTCGTCAACATTTTCATTATTGTGAATTGAAGATAAATACGTATCGCTAAAGGAAAGCCATTATTTACTTATTGACTCAGCCAGTATTGGTATCCTCGGCGTCGACATATCGAGTGACGTGCAGTTTCGCTTTCACTTAGAAGAGAAGGCCAAATTGGCCTCTAAAAAGCTTGGCGTGCTCAGCGGAGCGGGACAGTATTTCATGCCGGCACACCGCATGCAACTTTACAAGGCGCAAGTTCGGCCGCACATGGAATACTGTTCCCATCACTGGGCTGGGGCTCGCCAGTACCCGCTCCTTCCACTTGACCGCATCCAGCGCAGAGCAGCTCGAATCGTCGACGACCGAGTGCTTTCCGATCGGCTCGATTCACTGGCGCTGCGAAGAGATGTTGCATCTCTTTGAATTTTCTTTCGCATATGCCATGGGGAGTGCTCTTACGGAATTGTTGGGATTAATCACAGCCGCCAAATTTCGTGAACGCACTACGCGGCAAACGTCCCGATACCATCCATACCATCTGGATGCTTGGCGGTCCACCACTGTACGTTTCACAAGGAGTTTTCTTCCGCGTACGACCTGTCTGTGGAAAAGTTTACCACCGGCGATTTTTTCCGAACTGATACGACCTGAAGACCTTCAAGAAAAGAGCTTACTCCTTTCTTAAGGGCCGGCAACGCATCTGCAATTCCCCTGGTATTGCGGTTGATCACGCGCGGCTGTA